TAGATTCCACATATAAGTGAAATCATATGGTATTTGTCTTTCTCTGTCTGATTTATTTCACTTAGCGTAATACCCTCTAGGTCCATCCATGTTGTTGCAAATGACAAGATTTCATCCTTTTACATGACTGAGTAATATTCCAGTGTGTGTGTGTGTGTGTGTGTGTGTGTGTGTGTGTGTGTACGTGCAGCACAACTTCTTTATACATTCATCTATTGATGGACACTTGGGTTGCTTCCATATCTTGGCTATTGTAAATAATGTTGCAATAAACATATGAATGCATATGTCTTTTGGAATTAGTGTATTTGTTTTCTTTTGGTAAATACCCAGCAGTGGAATTACTGGATCATATGGTATTTCCATTTTTAATTTTTTGAGGAAGCTCTATCGGGCTGTTTTCCACAGTAGCTGCACCAAATTTACATTCCTATCAACATTGCACGAGGGTTCCTTTTTTGCCACATCCTTGCCAACACTTGTTAGTTCTTATCTTTTTTATTTTAGCCATTCTGACAGGTATAAGGTGATATCACATTGTGGTTTTGATTTGCATTTTCCTGATGATTAGTAATGTTGAGCATATTTTCATGTGTCTGTGGGCTATCTGTATGTCTCTTTTGAAAAAAAAGGCTATTCAGGTCCTCTGCACATTTTTAATTGGATTATGTGGTGTTTTTGGTGTTGAGTTATATAAGTTCTTTATATATTTTGGATATTAACCCCTTATCATTCCAAATATCTTCTCCCATTCAGTAGGTCGCCTTTTTGTTTTCCTGATCGTTTCTTTCACTGTGCAAAAGTTTGTGTTTTGATATAGTCCCAATGGTTTATTTTTGCTTTTGTTTCCCTTGCTTGAGGAGACATATCTAGAAAAAATGTTTCTCTGGCTGATGTCAAAGAAGTTACTGCTCATATTTTCTTCTAGGAGTTTTATGGTTTCATATCTCACGTTTGGGTCTTTAATGCATTTTGAGTTTATTTTTGTGTATAGTGTAAGAAATTTTTTTTCATGTAGCCTTCCAGTTTTCCCAGTATCGTTTGTTGAAGAGATGATCTTTTCCCCATTGTATATTTTTGCTGCCTTTGTTGCAGATTAATTGACCATATAAGTGTGGGTTTATTTTTGGGCTCGCTATTCTGTTTCATTGATGTTTGTGTCTATTTTTGTGCCAGGACCACACCATTTGAATTACTACAGATTTATAGTATGTGTTGCAAACTATGATTGTGATACCTCCAGCATCGGTCTTCTTTCTCAAGATTCCTTTGGCTACTCAGGGTCTTTTGTGTTTCTATACAAATTTTAGGATGATTTGTTCTAGTTCTGTGAAAAATGTTATTGCTATTTTGATCTATTTTGATAGGGATTGCACTGAATCTGTACATTGCTTTGGACACTATGGACATTTTAAATATTAATTCTTTCAATCCATGAGCATGGAATGTCTTTCCATTTGTTTGTGTTGTCTTCAGTTTCTTTCATCAGTGTTTTATAGTTTTCAGAGCGTAGGTCTTTCACCTCCTTGGTTAAATTAATTCCTAAGTATTTTATTCATCTTGGTGCAATTATAAATGAAATTGTTTTCTTAATTTCTCTTTCTGCTACTTCAATATTAGTGTATAGAATTGCAACTGATTTCTATGTACTAATTTTGCATCCTGCAACTTTACTTATTACTTCTTATATAATTTTTTTGTGGAGTCTTTATGGTTTTCTATATATAGTATCACGTCCTCTGCATCAACTCTGTATCAACTTCTTCCTTACCAATTTGGATGCCTCTTATTTCATTTTATTGTCTGATTGCTATGGCTAAGCCATCTAGTACTATGTTGAATAAAAGTGGTGAGAGTGGACATCCTTGTCTTGTTCCTGATTATAGAGGAAAGAGCTGAGACATTTTATATCATCTTCTCTGATCCTCAAACCAGGTTTTACGCCACTGGCTGCTTTGGTTCTTAAGCCTTCGGACTCCGACTGAATTAGACCATCAGCTTTAGTCAGTGTCCAGCTTGCAAATGGTAGATTGTGGGACTTCTCAGCCTCTATAATTGCATGAGCCAATCCTCATAATAAATATTATATTTATTATACAATATAAATCATTTTATATACATATATATATATATATACAGACACACATATAACACACACACAGACATATCCTTAAATCCTACTGGTTTTGTTTCTCTGGAGAAGTGTGACTTACACACCAACGTTATACCGTTTATATGAAACCCACTTTAAGTATAAAGAATACATAGTTTAAAAAGTAAAAGCATGGAATATGATATACCATGAAAACACTAAAAAGAAAGCTGGAATAGTGTTATTAATATCAGATAAAGCATATTATCGGAGATACTGAAAGACATTCCATAATTATGAAGGTGACAATTCTCCCTGAATATATAACATTTTAAAATCCAGGAAAGGGAGGTGGGTGGGGGATGGGGTAACTGGGTGATGGGCATTAAAGAGGGCACGTGATGTGATGAGCACTGGGTGTCATATGCAACTGATGAATCATTGACCACTACATAAAAAACTAATGATGTACTATATGTTGGTTAGTTGACTTTAAATTAAAAAAATAAATCCTTAAAAAATTTTTAAAATTAGAAAAAATAAAATGTGTATGTATCTAGCAAACGAGCTTCAAATATTTGAGCAAAAACTGATAAAAATAAGGAGAAATAGACAAATCCACAGTTACTGTTGAACACTTCAACACTCTTCACCCAACAACCAGTAGAACAATTATACAGAAAATCGGTAAGGACACAAAAGACCAGAATACACTATCAACAATTTGATCTAATTTCCATTTATAGAACACTTCACCCAACAACAGGGGAATGCACCCTTTTCAAGTGCATATGGAACATACACCAAGAGAGAGCATATTATGGAGCACAAAACAAACCTTGAGAAATTTAACAGAATAGAAATAATGCAATGATCCCAACAGAATCAAACTAAAATTCAATAAGAAAGATACCTAGAAAATCTCCAAATAGTCAGAAATGACAGAAAATACTTCTATACAATTGATGGGTGAAAAAGGAACTCTCAAGGGAAATTTTAAAAAATATTCTGAACTGAGTGAATGAAAATAGAGATATAACATGTCATAGCTTTGGGATGCCATTGAAGCATCACTTAGAGGGAAATTCATAGCAGTTAATGCTTATCCTAGAAATAGGTAAGATCTAAAATCAGTAATCCCAACTTCCACTTTATGAAACTAGGAAAAGAAGATCATATTAAACCCAAAGGAAGCATAAGAAAGAAATGATAAAAAAAAAATAAGCCCAGAAATCAATGAAATTAACAGAAAAGCATGAGAAAATCATTTAAACCAAAGCTTGACAAGATCAATAAAATTGACAAACCTCTGGCCGGATTGACCAACACAGAAAGAGGGAAGACACAAATGACCAATATCAGTCATGAACAAGGGAATCTCACCACAGGACCTAGAGGCATGAAAAAGAAAATAAAGGAATACCGTGAAAGACTCTATGCCTTTAATTCGGCAACTTAGATAAAATGGACCTTAAATAGTCCTATATTCATTAAAGAATTGAGTATACAGTTAGTGCCAGAAGGAATTTATTAGAGAGGATTACACTACAGAGGTGGCTACCACAAGTCTTTTTGCCATTCCTCTCTTACTCAAGAACTGACATTTTGCTAACTAGTGGGTTGTACATCAAATCTTTTTTATTGGTGAAACTAATGCCATACTGTTATGATGAATGCTAGAAATGGGATTTTAGTTGTAAAATTAAAAGTATTCAACATAGGAGAGACTTGCACGGTCTCTCTCTCTCTCTAAAATAAAATGTATTCAGGGGCACCTGGGTGGCTCAGTTGGTTGAGTGGCTGCCTACAGCTCAGGTGATGACCTCAGGAGTCCTGGGACCTAGCCCTGCGTCAGGCTCCCTGCTCAGCAGGCAGTCTGCTTCTCCCTCTGCCTCTGCCCCTCTCCCTGCTTGTGCTCTGTCTCTCTCCCTTAAATAAAATAAAATAAAATAAAATAAAATAAAATAAAATATATTCAATATATATGGATTAGTTAAAATAGAAGACCCCTCATATCTTCACATAAACAGGGTGTAAGAATACTCCAAGGGTTTTACCCTATACTCCATAGAATAACACTAGTGACCTGATCCCCAAAGGATCCTGTGCTCTGCTGTTAGTTTAGGAGGATTTCTGACTGTATGAAGCTAATGAGAAAAGTATGTACTGTATCTTCCATAAGGATGTGCTCAGAGCACTTAAAACAACAGAGTTGTTTTAATCAAGCTTATAGAAGAGGTTTTATGATAAGCTATACTTACTTTGCTAATGAATAATGTCTGTATGAGGCAGAATTCTATTTTGTTTTATTATTTTTAAATTCCTGGTGATGGGTATTAAAGAGGGCATGTACTGCATGGAGCACTGGGTGTTATACGCAAACAATGAATCATGGAACACTACATCAAAAACTAATGATGTAATGTATGGTGATTAACATAGCATAATAAAATAAAATTTAAAAAAAAGAAAAAAATATTTTATTTATTCATTTGAGAGCGAGAGAGCATGGGCAGGGGGAGGGGCAGGGGGAGAAGCAGGCTCTCCACTAAGCAGTGAGCCCAATGCGGGGCTCAATCCCAGGACTCCGGGATCACGACCTGAGCTGAAGGCAGACGCTTAACGACTGAACCACCCAGGTGCCCCAAGGCAGAATTTTATATAAGCCTTTGTTTTTATGGTAATCTTTTTTTTTTTTTTTTTGGTACCAAATTATTTGAAGAATGGTACAAATGAAAGAAGTTAAGTAGATGTTTTGGTACAACTTATAGAAAAGGTAAAGGTAACCCCAACATGCATGCACTGCCTTGGTGACCAGGGAAGTCACCCTTGTGGCTATGGGAAGACAGCCTAAGGCTTAGCTTTCACTCTCAATCTGTTTCCCAAGGTGTGCTTGTCAAAGAGTTACTCTGCCATGCCAGATTCGGGAGCCCCCATCTTGCGCAGGTTGGTTACATGGTCACCCAATTCTTTGATGGATTTCACCTGCTCATTCAGGTAATGAGTCCCAATGAAGTCACACAAATGGGGGTCACTTTTATCAGTGCCCAGTTTGTGCAGTTCCAGTGGTGACTGATTCACGCTCTTTTCCAAATGTAATGCACACTCCATTGCATTCAGCCCCTTCTCCCAATCATCACGGTCTGGTTTCTTGATATCCTGAAGGAAGATTCGGCCACCTCGTTGGTTCTGCAGCTTCATCAGTTTCTCAGCATGTTCCCTCTCCTCATGAGATTGGTGAAGAAAATATTTGGCGAAGTTCTTCAAAGCCACATCATCGCGGTCAAAGTAGTAAGACATGGACGGGTAGACGTAGGAGGCGTAGAGCTCCAGGTTGATCTGGCGGTTGATGGCGGCCTCCCAGTCCTGGTGGTAGTTCTGGCGCACCTGCGAGGGGGACGCGGGCGTCGTGGCGGCGGCTGAGAAAAGGCGGCGGCGAGCGGCGGCGGGGGCCTTGGAGCGGTCCGAGGGCGCGGCGAAGAGATGGCCGAGGGCTGGCTCTGAACGGCCGGCCCGGGTGGGGGACGAGCGCCGGGTTCCGTCCAAGCACTGTTGAAGCAGGCAACCGCGGCGACTCTCGGCGGAGACTGTCTTTATTGTAATCTTGTAGTGAGAACACAGAGGAGTAGCTAGAGCTCACCACCTCAGATTTCTTTGCCAGCCATCACTACATACCAAATCATAGATGTACATTACCGAGTGCCTTAGGTCAGTTTGCGTTAGCTAGCTATTATGCTAAACATTGTGTGTTCATTAACTCATTTATTTCTCAAAGCAATGCTAGGGGACAGGAACAAGGCATAAGATAAAACAGTAAGGTGAGTAAGGTGAAGCTCAGAGAGATGAAATGACTTACCCAAAGTTATACAGCAAGGTCAGGGACCCAGGTTGTCTGATTTCAGGGCTGGTGTTTTAACCACTGCATTCTGTTCCACTACCTGATGTTTTTAACTTTATTTATTTATTTATTTATTTATTTATTTATTTATTTATTTATTCGAGAGTGAGAGCAAGGGGAGGGCCAGAGTGGGAGGGAGAGAGACAAGCAGATGCTGGGCTAAGGGCAGAGCCTGATGCCGGGCTCCATCTCACGACCCTGAGGTCATGACCTGAGCCAAAACCAAGAGTCCGATGCTTAACCCACTCAGCCACCCAGGCACCCCCTACTACCTGATGTTTTTAATCATCTCCTGGGAATATACGAAATTGAATAGATGATATCAGTAGGAATCAGCCTTCTGTGTAGTTGAGGACAGGCTAAATTTACAGTCCCTGGATATTAGAGGTATCGGGGGCTCAGTTGTGGAGATCTTAATATGGCAACCGTGTTGACCTCAATACTCCTGATGACACTTGGGGTTGAGATTTTTTTAATTTTTAAACATTTTTTTAAAGATTTTATTTATTTATTTGACAGAGAGACACAGCGAGAGAGGGAACACAAGCAGGGGGAGTGGGAGAGGGAGAAGCAGGCTTCCCGTGGAGCAGGGAGCCTGACACGGGGCTCGATCCCAGGACCCCGGGATCACAACCTGAGCTGAAAGCAGACGCTTAAGGACTGAGCCACCCAGGCGCCCCGAGTTTTTTTTTAATAACACCTTTATTGAGATGTAATTTACATACCATAAAATTCATCTTTTTAAGTGTATGATTAAGTGGTTTTTAGGATATTCAGAGTTGTGCAGCTCTTCTCTGTTAGCCCTGGTTGGGGAAATTGATTCTTTTGTATTTGTGACATTGGTCAAATTTTGATTAATGGCCTATTGTTTGGCCATCTCTGCTGCAACAAGTCAAACCCTAAATGTTCCACCAGGTTCCTCCAGCCTTGGTCTTTGTGGAAGTCATTCAAAGGAGCATTTAGGGTGGCTCCCTGAAACATAAGCATTTTTTCATTTTTCTTTTGTCAGCTATTAACTAGCCCTGCCCAGACCTCCTACAGAAAATACATCTGGGAGGTACGCGGGAGAGGGTCCGCCCTACCCTGCGGGCACAAAAGTATCTTCAGTATGAAACTTGCAAAGAGATTAAAGTTTCTGTTTCAGTCATTTCTTCTGGATAAAACAGCGGTTCCTCATCTGAGGTCACAACCAGGTTAGCCAGCAACTTATTATGAATGAGGCACTCTGTCTTACACATATATTCACTACTACTTCTAAAACACACACAGCTGATAGGATGGATAAAGCACAAAGCCTTTCTAACTGTGTGGCTAAATTCCTAGTAACTTTTTTTTTCCATTATATATTTTCTTAATCAGCAGATAAAAAAAGTCCAGCTACTCTCATGGGATAATCAGAGGAAGTTTTGATGGACCAAAGAAGTCATGTGGACTCAAAAAAGTGGAGGGACCACTGAGTTAAATACTCTTCATAGGGTATCAAGTTTTCACTCGGTAGGGAGTCAACTGATCCGCAGTCATTAACACAATGGTCTTAATTCACTGGATTGCTTCTGGGTAGCCCATGAAACAATTTCATCCTAAAAGCAGAGTGGGAATCAGAAATGGCCCCAAGCAGGTCTAGGGGGCTAAGAAGTTCAGCATTTGGAGTGCCCCGCGTGCTTGGGGAAATCGATGCTTTTTGTATTGATGACAGTAGTCAGAGTCTGATGGATTAATGTTTGGCTGGTACCACTCCAAAGAGCCAAACCCTAAATGTTCTTGCGTGTTGGAAGACACTCGAGGGGGAAAAAAAGAAGGGTGCTGAGCACTAGGGGTGGGGTCTAAAAGGAAGGAGGGGGCTGCCAAATGTGCGATCCAGACCATATCTACCCGCTTCTTCGTCTGTTGGGAGGGCAAGGAGACAGTGATATCTACCCCCAAAGTTAGCAGATGACTTTTAGAGTTCCCTTTCTTTGGATCTTCTCCCTTCCCTTTGTTCCTTCCCAGAAACTCCTCCCCCGATACTTGCTTGCAAACCTTCCCCATCCCATCCAACCCTGAGTCCCACTTTCTATCCAAAGCCATTCAATCAGCTTGAATTGTCTTGTGTTTTTCTGGAGGGGTTCCCTCTCCAAAGTTGCCAGGATGTCTCAATATTCTTGGAGCTTGTCCTCAGTTTCCAAAACTTTAGGGCGTCCCATCAGCCACAGTTCTGACTTCAAATACACACTGACCTTTTCCTTTCAACCAAACACCCTCCCCCTTCCCCATTGCATTGCATCAGAGCCTTCTTGAGCCTGTTGTATTGCTCCAGGCATCCCCCTGCCTGTGGCTTGGGGTTAATATCTGGTCTTTTCCAATCCCACCCCATGTGATTGTGTCTTTGTTTCAGATCCAGGAGAGTAATCACACTCAGACTGGGTCTCCACTAGCCAAAGCAAAAGAGACATTTGAGGAAACAATTGGCCAGTCCCTGCAGAAGGGGATTTTGGGTTGTCTGAAAACCAGCCTATTGCCTCAATTCTCCTCTCTACCTGACATGACCTCAGGGCCCTAAGTGGCTACTTTCCTTGGCACTAATAAGGTCAGAGCACAACGACTTCGGTTGCTTGAGAAGAGGCCATATCCCAAGAGAGAGCTAATTTTCTTAGAGGGAATTTTCTTAGAATTGCAGGGGGAAAGGCTCTCGAGACCTGGGCTAACAACTTCGTTGTCTGCCTCTCTCCAGCCTCTTTCTGAGGGCCACCTAACGGCACAGGCGGCTGGAAGGAGGAGGGGACTGAGTTGGAGGGCCAGAGCAGTTCCCAGGCTGCAGTCAGGGGAGCAGGTACGGTGTTCCTAGGGCACGTAAAACCGTAGAACTGACTAAAAATTAGACCTTTATTATCACCGTGTTCCAGTAATTCTGAACAGCGGCAGTGCTCAAACACTAATCCCCTGGGTACCCCGCTGCCTCCACAGCAGCAGCACCTCTGGGGGGCCCTCATTCCCTCCAGAGGGTCACACCTCAGGCTGAGCTTTCAGGCAAGCCTTCAGATTCATACCGCTTTCCTCCATCGAAATTTCCGTCTTGTGTTCCATCCCCTTAGGACGCTGCTCTCTACTTTCATGGGTGGGATTTCTTTATAGGGGAGGACGTACAGTGGGTACCCAGCTCTCCCCGCCAGGAGCACCTGCGTGGTAATGGGAGTCCCGCGCAGAATCTGTGCTTCAGTCCAATGCTTGTTTGAACTCTTTCGAAGCAGGGACGCCCTGTTTGCAAGCAAAATATGGTGTGGAACCCCAACTCTCAGCCTCCTTCAAGCCTCCCCTTCAATGTCATTTCCTCGGGGAAATCTTCCTTGTCCTTCCATGACAAGGACAAGTCTTTATGACCTACACTCTCATTGCCCCCTTGGTCTTGCCTTTTCTTACCACCCTTAGGATTATTCCCTGGTAGACAGTGAGCTCTTTGCAAGCAAATGTCAGCTCTATCTTGTCCACCACCGGAACCCCAGAACCAAGTCTAGTACGTGGCCCTCTCCGGGTGTGCCAGACCTGAGTGAAGACACAGAAGTGCTTCTATGACTACAGCCTGTGAGTAAATGAACATTGGAAAGAGCCATGTCACATGTCACACCGTGGGCTTTTATTGGAATTATGGTCAACCACCACCCCCAGGTCATTTCTTCAGAACAAAAAAAAAAGGGGGGGGTCAGTCAGGTTTTCCTACCTTGTAGTCATGTGGTGACATTTTAAAACGAACAGCAGTGGACTCGACTCCCATATTCCAGTGGGTAGATTTCTTCCTCCTCTCCTTGGCACTAAAATCAGATTCTTGCTCTTACTAAAGCCTGGCGGAAGTCCTGTGGGGACACCCCCTCTCCTTTTCTATACCAGAACACCTAGAAGGCTTCTTCTTTTTAGGTATCCCATGTTGGCCCTTCCTTCAAAACCAGGCTCAGGTTCTACTTTCTGTCTGAAATAAGCCAAGCTTTGGCTGCTTTCCCTTTTCTTTGAACGACTGGAGTTCAGGGATAAATGGCTCACTGAATTTTTTAAAAAATGGAATTTACTGTGCACTTGCTATGTGCCTGTCACTCTCACGAACACAGTACATTATCTCATTTAAGTCCCACAGCAACCCTTTGAAGCAGGGACTATTCTTATCCCATTTTACAGATAGGGAATCAGAGATTAAGAGATGTAGAGGGGCACCTGGGTGGCTCAGTCAGTTAAGAGTCCGACTCTTGATTTCGGCTCAGGTCATGATCTCATGCATTGTGAGATCGAGCCCCGTGTCGGGCTCCGTGCTTAGTGGGAAGTCTGCCTGAGAGATTCTCTTCCTCTGCCCACTCCCTCTCTCTAAAATAAATAAATACATCTTTTTTTTTTTTTTAAAGAGATGTAGGAAACAGGGAGAAAGGGAAAGAAATGTGAATTGTTTGCATATGTTAATTCCCTGTCTTCTCTTGGTTCCCCGACAGGAGCGGACTCCTCGCTACGTTTGACTCCAAACTTCCTACGTGATTCTATTACTAACTGTGGTGATTCTTTGAACAGAGGTGAACATCTTGACTGCAAGACTGAAAACTGACTTGAGCCCTTCTGCAGTGTTTTCTTTCACCCAGACTCCCTCCTGATGAAGCAATCTCTCTCCTCGGATACATTGCTGAATTTCAGAATTCACTTCTAAGTGCCCCCTCTTTGGGCTAGCATACGGCCACAGCCCTGTGAGGGCTAATGCACAGCCCGCAGGTCAACAATGCTTTTAGAGCACCACCCCCCCCCCCATGGAAGCTGCTACTTCCCACCATAAACAAACCCAAACCTGGGCATTTTAGACATGTAGCAGGTTGAGAAGTAAAAGGAGATGAAAACAGAGAGGTAGGCAAACCATAAGAGACTCTTAACTCTAGGAAACAAACTGAGGGTCGCTGGAGGGGGCAGGTGGGGGAGCGGGTAACTGGGTGACGGGCATGAAGAAGGGCACATGATCTGATGAACACTGGATGTTATATGCAACTGATGAGTCACTGATTCTTACCCCTGAAACATAATAATAATAATAATAATAATAATAATAATAATAAAGTGAAAGGAGAAAGCTAGAAAGCAGGAGGAATGGCATAGTGCTGTTTCCAAGAGGTGGCGGTGGGTGGGGACTGCAGAGCCTCAGGCAGAAACGTGAGTATGGCTTGCTTACTTGATGCTCTCTACTTCCCCCCATCCCTCCACCAGAGAGCAAACCTCACCCCTCACCCCTCACCCCCAACACACACACACACCCCTCCCTCCTACTGTCTCCATTGTCAGAAGGTTTTCACTCACTCCAGCCCTCTGCCTATAATTTTTTAATTGGGGATTCATTTTGAGGGTAATGAAGAGTAATAAAGTCTTTAAAAGTGAAAAAGTATCTGAGAGTTAAGCATCTCTCACTCGACTCAATGTGCTTCCTCTCTAATGCCCAGACAACCGCCCCGAAGGGATTCAGGTTCTAATTGTTGTCCGAGGGAGGTCCTTAATGGTGGAGCCTGCGGTCCCCTCCGTGGGGCCAGGCAGGCCTGGGTCTGGGACAGCCGGATGCGAAGGGCGGGATGACAGCGCCAGACTGGAGAGAGAGTGCGTGATGAAACAGGCCGTCAGGACAAACTCTGTCTTCGACATTTTGCCTCCAGCCGGCTCCTCACTCACCTCTCCGCCGCCCCACCCAGAAAGGTGAAACTCCCTGCTCACTCCTCACCACCCACCCTTGCCCCCAGGACTGAACTTAAGCAGGTACTAATTAGTACTATATATATAACTTGGTTATGTTCAGGGTTCAAGAGGCTTGTGTGGACTGGCCCGGGAATCCAAGCGTCAAATAAAATGATGTTTCTATAAGAAAATGCTGGATTCTAACTTGTGGGCCAACACTTCACTCCCAGACTGGGGACTGCTTAAACTTGGGAGGCAGTGCAGAACTCTTGTGTATGGTAACTTGAAACCAGGCCTCGGGTTTCTTGTATGGTCCATTTTGCAAAAGCTCCATACACACCATGTTGGAATCTAATTATTCACACACACACACACACACACACACACACACACACACGGATAGAGATATAAGTATTGTAACATGCACTACGGCTATTCCAAATATTATATTGCAATATAGAGAGTCTATGTAGAAATATAGATACTACTTGTCATGCACAATATTGAAGCCTTAGCAAGAATCCTTCACAGCTGTGAGACCTATGCCACAAATGTGTGCATCTTGCTCTAACACTAAAAAAAAAAAAAAAAGAAAAAATCTATGTGTAAATCTGTTATCTGTGAGCTATTTTAAAAGAAGCCTTATGGCAAATCATTTTGCACGGCAAACAAGCACTTTTTCATTTGTATTTGTTAACCAAGATTTTGTTCGGTTTTCTTAGACGGGGTGACAGAGATGTTCTGAAGGATTGGATATTTAAGTAATCTCTGGCCTGCTTTCTTTCTCAACCGGAGAAAGAATCTCACTAGATTGACCATGCACTTGGCAAATATTTATTGAACGCCTAAAAGTGCTGGGCACCGGGTCTCTGCCCTCTCAGAGCTCTCCAGTCTAATCAGGGACACTGGGGCTGAGCAAATATGTCATTTTTATGCACGCAGTTGACTCTTGAACAACATGGGTTTGAACTGTGCAGGTCCACTTCAACATGCAAATTTTGCATCGTACAGTACTATAAATGTATTTTCTCTTCCTTGTGCTTTTCTTAATACCATTTCCTTTTCTCTAGCTTACTTTCTTGTAAGAATCCAGTATATCTTACATATAACATCCATACTATGTGTTAATCAACTCTTGATGTTATCGGTAAGGCTTCTGGTCAACAGGAAGCTCTTAGTAGTTAAGTTTTGGGGGAGTCGAAAGTTATATGCAAATTTTTGACTGTGGCGGGGGTCTGGCACCTGTTATCCCCAAGTTATTAAGGGGTCCACTGTAATGGCATGGAAAAGGTGAGTGCTCTTAATGTCCTCATCTCTAAAATAGGGCCAATAATAGGACCTACCGCATAGGGCGGTGGTTGAGGATTAACTAAGAAAACACGCATGTCAACAGATCGTACTCCAGAGACCGGCATGAGCTAAGTGCTTTGGTTGTTATTTCATAAGAGCATGGGGGAGGGCACAACTAACTGTGCCTGAAAGAGGTGGACCAGGTCTGAGATGAGCAATGTGAGTTTTTAAAAGATGAGTAGGTGTTCATTAAATGGACACATCAGGGGATGAATATTCCAGGCAGAGGGAGCTAGGTGCAAAGGAACAGGAGTACTAAGGACTTCTAAGTACTAGTTCTTGTTAGTACTTCTTAGTACTAAGGACTTCGTACTAGGTACTAAGTTCCAGAAGAATGGAGTTGGCATGGCGGGAGGATACAGTACATAGGGAGAAAGGATAAATGGTAGCAGACTAGGAAGGGAGCAGGTAAGGCTCCGCAGAGGAGGTGACATTTCGACTGGTCTTGAAGGGTGAGTAGGAGTCTGTTGGGCAAAGGAGAGGGAAGAACATTCTAGTGGTGGGAAGAGTATATAGAAAGGCACAATGTTGTAAATGTGTATGAACTATTTGCGAGACTGTGTGCTGTCGCTGGAGCTCTGCATTTAAGGACTCCTGTCTCCCATGGAGAGGTTTCAGAGGTGTCTGAGCTTGTCTGGCTGACCGGTGGGGTGGGCCCTCTGAAGTCAGTCTGCATGAGGGATTCAGTGGGGAACAGAGGCCGTACACAGGAACCATAAGGAAGAGGGATTAGGAGGACAGTCTCATGTCTGTCTTAGAGGCTTATACTCAGCACAGCCTCTGCGTCCTGGCAACGAAAGGGCTGGAAATGGAACCTGAAGGATTCATTTCGGTGCAAAAGTCCAAGAGACCCTGAGGCACAAGAAGACCCCTGCCTATGTGTTAAACTGGTTTCACGGAAGGTGGCAACATATAGCATCACAGGTGGGGAGGGAGGGGAGCATTCTCTCCACTTGTGCACAGGATAAGGTGCCACTGGGGATTCCGGAGCACCACCACCACCATGCTGGCACCTCTAGGCCTGCAGAAGGAGCCCCCACCAGCCATATCCCAGCGGGTAGTGGTGAGGAGTGTCAGAAGACATGTGGTGAGGGAAGCAGTGGGTGGCCCACATGAAATGACCTCTGGGACTTCCTCGGAATCACCCTGGTGTGGAGACTACAGAGAGGAAAAATCCTGCAGGAAGAGAGAAGGGCAAACACCAATAAACATGGGCCACTCCTAGGAGACCATGTTGCCAGGATGCGGGTGATCAGGGCAAAGGAAGAGTACCGGAGGGAGCCAGAGTGTCTGGCTTAAGTTTTATGTGGTTCCCCCACTGGAGGTGGAGCAATGTGGGGATTTAGAGCCCACCGTTGCAGAGGAAAGTTTGCTGGGTTTTATAAGGGCGGGGTGGGGGCAAGCTAACAGAGATGAGGGGAACTAGGTACAGCGAAATGCACAGTAAGGGGTAGGCGACCAGAGGCCAAAATTCGGGCCAGGTTGTAGGTCAAGGATTGTGGGTTTCAAGGCTCAGCATGGGGAAATGGCTTCTCATGCACCTCCCACACCAAGATAACACTTCTTTCCCCATTACCCTCAATCTTTTCCTTTCCATAGGGTCTCTCCCTTCAGTACTCAGACATGGCCAAGTATCTACCATATTTGAAATAAAAACTTTGCCAGGGCGCCTGGGTGGCTCAGTCGGTTAAGCGGCTGACCTCTGGTTTTGGCTCAGGTCCAGATCTCAGTGTTGTGGGATCTAGCTCCGCATTGGGCTCCATGCTCAGCGGGGAGTCTAATTACCTTCTCCCTCTGCCCCTCCCCCTGCTTGCGCACTCTGTCACTCTCTCTCTGAAATAAATACACAAATCTTTAAAAACCCAAAGAAACCCCAAAACTTTCCTTTGACCCCATATCTTTTCCCAGCTACTTCCTTCATGTGATCACTCCGCTTTCTGTAATGAAGCTTCTCCAAGGAGTGGCTCTAATTTTTGTCTCCAATTCCTCACCTCCCCACTCACTTCTGGCTTCTGCTCCCATCACTCCCCCAACACGCCACCACCAATGACTTCTCTGTCGCTCAGCCCAGTGCACACTTTTGTGCCCTTATTATATCTGACACTTAGGCTCTCTGGGCTTCTGTGGTAGCACACATCTAATTGCTCTTAGGGGTTTGAGGCAACTTGGTTTGGATTAACATCTATGACAAAACTTTCCCCTTGTTCCCTGTGCAGCAGTCTGAAATTGAGGCCCTCCTGAAACCCAAGTCAGTGGCCTTCTGTCCTCAATCTCTTCAGTGTCTTGGCCACGTCCTTCGAGAACTTCCATGGTCATAAATGAACGTCTGCTAATCCCCTGACGTGCGCTGGCTAGATTAAGCCTCACCGTGGGATTGCAGGCAAAAGGCAGCAGCGCCATATTTATCCCCGTTTTATAGATGGGGAGACTGACACAGCTGGGAAGTACGGAGCTGGGATTAAAAACACAGGCAGTCTGACCGCAAAGTCCCCACTCTCAGTGAAGTTGCCACAGTGGGAGCGAGGGGGCATCGAGCTGAGTGTGAAACAGCCAAGCCCACCCATCGCCCGCTACTTGGTCCAAGGTCAGCACCGACCAGAGACTCAATCACTCCCGCAGCATTCCTGCAGATGATTTTTCAAAATTAACTGTTTTATTAATTTAAAAATCCAGAAATACAGTGACTACATAAATAAGTACCCTATTTAGGTACATGTCCTGTAAGAAGAACAAAAGGCTAATACTGTTACTTTAAGTTTACTCTTACTTGTTTACACGAGTTAACTAGAACATGGCTATAACTGCTAAATGGTGCTTATGGTCTTTGTTGGTCCGGGTGTTTATGATACAAATAAATACACAAGAAGAACCACATCCATTCCCCTCCTAACTACAGGGGACCCTGCCTCTTCTCCCCATGCCCCACTGCCTATACCACACAGAACACTGGAAGGTTTCTCCGTTGGCCTAGCACAGCTCCCCAGCCCCTGCTTCACACAGCACTTTGGAAAGGTGTGTCCCAGCACCTGGGGGCAGACGTCTATCTAGGGAAGCTCTCTGGGTGTTCCCTTATGGTTGAGCGTTCAGAGAACACCTGGGTGGGAAGGCTTTGGGGTGAGTCATCCAGAAGGGGAAATCAGCACTTGGCTTGAGGATCCAGTTACTTGTTTCCACACTATGGAAATGCTGCCACCTCTGGGAGGGAGGCTGCAGATACTTAGCAGCCTCGTCCCCAATAATGCTCTCTGGCCTCTCAGCCCTGGATGTCCTCCCTCCCTTTCCTGTGGAGAGTATGTATGAAGCACTGGTAGGAGGCTTGTCCGGTGAAGGCCTGGCCAGGAGGCGCCCCTATATCTCTTTTAGGAGAACAGACTCCATTATGCCAGGCTGCCATAAAGATTTTTACATTTTTCCCTATTGGTGTCATTGACTGTAAGGAAAATAATGTTCCTCTCTCCTATGGTCATGGAGTGGGAAAAACAGGATGTCTGCGTCCTTGATACTTCTGAGTACTCATTAGAGTTCATTCAAGCCCCTCCGAAGGGATGAATCTAGAAGGCAGGCTTGAGATCCTTGTGGAGAATTTATTGTTTTGCCACAAAGATGATGTCTAAAGCCAGGCCTCAGAACGGTAAGTTCTGCTCTGGTATCGAGCTGTGAATAGACGGTTTCTGAGCAGCCTTCTCTAGGATTCATGACTCAAATCCCCGCTTGGTGGATGAGATGAGAACGGTAGGAAAGTTTAGAACAAAGATCCTTATCAGAACGTCCACTTCCCCATACGAGCAACAATTCTCCTAACTGAACAGCCAACCTTCAGAAGCTTGGGACTGAGCCCCTTTGCAAAGTCAAAATGAACTCCTGTAATTGGAGAAGAAGGAAAACTGCCCTTTTAAGTAGCTTCTAGAATGTAATCATTTAACCTAAATTTTTGAACTACAGAACTCTGGCTATCAAGAAAATCCGTGAGTATTGAGCTATTTGTTGGTGACTCTTACTGACTTGAAAACACGTAAGGTTTCCTTGTTGACTTCCATCCACCATTTTCTTCGACAATTATTTTGTCTTCAGTGGATTCAGTTTCTGAAGATTTTACTCAGTTCTAACTTCCTTACGGGGGCCCCACAGGCTCAGGGAGAAAAGAGAAGTGGCATCACTAGGGAAAAGTTATTTATGGCTTCAAAGTGAATGTGGCCATGAAATGGTGTTCTTATTCTTCACCCTGCCACCGTAGTTGGTGACTTCAGCAACCACACCCCTGACCTTCTGCTCACAATTCCTTCTTTATCCTCCTGGGTACCCACAACTTCAGAGCTACTTGGGAGCCAGGCGAGGGAAAGGAGGGGAGAGTCTATGCTGGCTTTGCCTCAGAAGGAAGGCGGCAGTTTAGTGTGTGCGTGTGTGCGTGCATGCACACGCACACGTGCATGCTTGCACACAAGCATGTGTGTCTGTGTGGATGAGGATGGGGAGTTAATATTTTCTTAAAAACACAAGACATCCTAAAATTCAAAGAGTATAATTTCATACACATATTTTCTCCATACTACACAACTCCTACTAAGCAAATTCTCATCTGTTTCCTTTCATTGGAGTAACTTTCTAGATAGAAACCCTAGGGTTTTGTTTACTCTTTAACCTGTGAAGAAATGTGATTCTCCCAGAAACTAGAGCAGTGTTGTGGTGTTCTAGCCCTCCTCCTCCCACAAATAATTCAAGACTCTTCTAGTCCCTTTGCAGGAGGTGTTTAAGGACTGACACACCACTCCACATAAAGGAGCAAGTTATGCTGTGCATGGCGTGAATAATGAACTGCATTTGAGTTTGGGGTTTTAGGGTACTGTTGACTTAAGCAAAATCAGCCCGCAGTCCAGCTGCAGCTTGAGTTTTCTTGCTTTACCCTCTCCAATACTGTCTGTCTTCTCTAACAGTGGCCCTTTTCAGACCTCTCCAGGTACAAAACCTTGACCAAATCTTCAAGCTCTGTTCTGCACACACGACTTGAACACATCTGGCTGATCTGAGCTTCTCCTTCGGTGAATATCTTCCACTGGCCTACAAAGCA